ACAACCTTTAATGCGCGTCCACATAGTCTTTGCATATAAACTGGTCACCTTGACGCCCCGGTCTGAATGGGCCTTTAGTCATGTTGAATCTTGTTACTCCTCCAAAACAGACCTGGAGATGTGTTTACTTTTCACACATGTTTGAGTAACCCTTTATTATTAGCCTGTCTACATCTCCAAAGCTCAAAATTTTCCGTTCCACCTTGCGATGTCATGTAATGGCAACTACCTTTTACCTTCAGTTCAGCAGAGATTGACAAATCCAGGGCTGAAATTATCCAAATGATTCTAGTGAAGGTGTGAAGTTTAAAAACATCGTGGAGCATAAGTATCTCTAATTGTGCACACATTAACACTTGTCAAAAAAGATTGTCTAAAAATTTGAAAAAACTACAAAATAGATTTAAACCACCGCATTTTGAGTCGTGTGTGATCTATACGAGCGTTCATGGTTCTGTTTAGGAGTTTTATTTTCAACAAAAGGGTGACTGATTGAAAATACCGGGTAGAATTTAGCTGCACTGTGAAGTGAGAGGGACTTGTTTAACAGCACAAATCACCTATTGTAGTTCCAATTAAATCTAAAGCTCTTTCTGGGCAGATTGTGTTAAAATCCATAAAGCTGCTCACGTGATCGACTGTGAGCTGGAGACATTTGTCACATTGAGGGACAGAAGGACACTGGCCAAACTGCTCTCCATCAGGGACGCTCCTGCTCACCCACTGCACCAGACTGTAGAGGAACAGATAATACTCCCTACAATTGTACAACAACTCACCCACTGCACCAGACTATAGAGGGACAGAGGAGCTCGTTCTCCACCAGGCTCCTACAGCTCCACTCAACCAGAGAGAGATACAGGACAACATTCATACTATAATACTCCCTACAACTGTACAACTACTCAGCCTACAACAGATACAAAAGATATCCCTATGTCCTGTCAATCATCACATCCTTCCTTTGACCTCTTGTACACAGTATAGCAGAAATTGTATATTTTATTACTTATTTTTCTATTTTATTTTGACTTGTACATAAGGCTGTGCAGTTATCCGAAGTTTGATTTGTGTGCCAAACGATCGCCAAACTTATATAATCGAGTTAAAACAATTTACATGCCGGTGAAAGTGAGGACCAGGGCACGATGACCATAGTACAGTGCTTAATGGGAGCTACAGTACTGATTATCCATAAACTCACAGAGGAGCATGAATCACAGCAGGACTCATATCTGTCTCAGTATTTAATACATATTTCTGCCACTGGTCTTATTTTCTCCTCTAAAGTGTGTAGACGACACCAGCCGTGGTTTGGTTTGGTTTTGCACATGAGAGTGCGGAACATAGAACACCTATGCAGTCATGCTTGAGCACGGCACGGTTCTAAAGTCCTAGAGCAGGGCCGTATCCAACCGACTTTGATCCAAAGGGGCCGGATCAGAAAACTCATGTCATATAAACCCCAAAAATAACAATAAGTTGAAATATTTGTGCAGAGAAACACAAATATATTACAGAAATCTTTTTAAATTGATGAACTCTTTGTTTTACAAAATATTATAATATTATGAACAACCTGAAACTTTAAGAAAATCCTGCACTCGGCTCCACTTTTCTCATTTTGGACATTTTATTGATGAGGTTGTCACGGTCAACAGTCAAAACGATCGTCCTTTAAGAGCGTTTGGAAAGAGGCAAGTCTTCATTTGTGCTGCTCTGGTGGGAGGGGCCACATACAGAGGCGCTGGAGACGTTGCTATGTTAAGCACCACAGAAAATTAACAATATTTTAATAAAAAATTTAATAAAAATATTTTAGTAGAAAATCAGCCGAGGGCCAGATTAAAGGTCTTGGAGGGCCGGATCTGGCCCCCGGGCCGCATGTTTGACACCTGTGTCCTAGAGAGAGTGCGCCCTAAATCTTAACAAAGTTTATTTTGGGATTTTTAAAAAATATATATAAATAAGTATATTTATTTTATTTTAAAATATTGACTGTAGAACTGCTGTATATATAGTTTATTTTGGATATATTTATGTTTTTCAAATTTTATTAATTTTATGTTTTATACATTGCAAAACTGCTCTAGGGTACAGATAGTTGTAGCCTAAATTTATTTTCAAGTTTTGCATAAATTATCAAGTGTTTGTTTTGTTTTTTTGAGAGAGAGAGAGAAATGCTGACTAAATGCATCATGTAATTAAAAAAAAAAAATCTTTCGAAAAATCGTGATAATGATTTTCTCCATAATCGAGCAGCCCTACTTGTACAATTACATTTATATAATTATGTCTTATTTGACACTCTTACCATCTTTTTGCTACTTATTTAGAATGTATTATTACCATTTATATTTTTTACTCTTTGTTATTATATTATATTGTGATGTGTGAGCTACTGTGTCCAAATAATTTCCCTTGAGCATCAGTAAAGTTTAAATCTAAGTTGAAGTTTAAGTCTAAAATAAAGCTCAGATTAAAGATTACCTTGAGACAGAGCTTCATACAGAGTAGTGCTTTCGGTTAGCTTCACTCCTTCTGGGAATTTTGAAGGCATCAGCTGCAAAGTATCACATGTGCATTTTGACGTGGGTGAATTGTCTTGCGTTGTTTCGATCAGTCTGTCCCACGGGAGTTTACAGTACAGTACATTTTCGAAATTCAACAAGAAGTTACAGTATCTTGAGAATATTCAGAGCTACTAATTCAGACACTTCCACTGTAGTCAGTAAAGCAAACACAACTAAGAAACTCCTCTGAAAAAGGACGCAAACTTTCTCACTTTGAGCCCGAGTAGCACAAAAGCTGTTTGCAGATCCATATTTCACAAACAGCTCCGACAAATTTAGCTCCCCCCAAAGTCAATGACATCCTCTTCACGCTCACATTTCCACAGCTTAGCAAAAACCCCACTCCAAAAGCCTTTCACATTCACACTCTCATAAACACATTACCGTAAAAATCGTATATTCCCGTGAGGTCATTCCCTATAAAATCTGTTTATTTTAATGTGTAGAATTAAAGATACAGGCACAAATTAAACCAGAAAGCACAAACGTGAATCATTTAAAGGTGCGTTAAAGCTGCACTGTGTAACTTTTTGGTTTTGGAGTCCATCACCTGCAAATCTTCTTTGCATTTATTAAATCACAGTTGGGTTTTATAGCTCAAAAATACCTAGAGAAACAGGAATTCTGACTGTGAGCGGAGTCGCCTCTCCACAGATCTGACCTGTAACTCGGTCTGGTTTGGTCTCAGTGAAGATAGAAAGGTTTAATGCCGCACTGTGAAACATTCCAGACAAAGCAACAACATCTACTTGGAGAAAAACCTTTGACGAACCCTTTACCAGAGGTCGCTCTTCCAGTAGCTCCTCACCCTCTTCCAAGATTTCTGAATTCTACTGTATTCGTTGTGCCGAAATAAAATTAGATTGATTAATTAATTTGATTACCTATTTCGACTGCAAATATATTATGTCTAATTTTGTGGACTGATAACTAGATAATGGTTTATGTTTGGCTCTTGCATTTGGTCAATTTCTGGCAACCACTAGAATGAGTAGCTCTCTTGCAGTTTCATTTTGCAAAAAGTAGCTCACTGGAGGATAAAGATTGGAGACCCCTGCCCTTCACCGAAAAAGTTACACAATGCACCTTTAAGTAACTTTTCTGGTGGATTGTCTGCCACCTGCTTTGTCTCAAATGTTCCGCAGTACAGTATTAAACTAATCTATCTTCCATTTATTCAATTACAGTTATTTCTAATGCTAAAAATATAATAATCTGCTCTCTCCATGGACAGGGGCGGTTCTAGGGCCACAGGAACCACCTCTAATCTGATTGGCCCCTGAAGTGCCAATGTTCTGTCAATCAACTGACGAGAAGAACAACCGGAGAAATCGATGATCACTGATGCAATTCCCCCCGAAACTCTTGGCGGCAGTCGAACTATTGCGTCAATAAAAGTTAATGGGAAAAGAAACAGACCTGTGGAGGGCTTTTTTTTTGTTGTACAATCTATGCTTGTATTTGCATCGTACTGAATTAATCATTTGTGTGCTTCGATGTTCCCTGTACTTGGCCCCGAAATCCAACATACACTAGACTGTTTGCGAGAACAGCCAATCAGCGAAGAGCCATATATTCTATGTTGTCAATGATTCCCGAGATCGAGGATTTAAAGCTGGAACAAAGAGAATGTTTGGTGAATTTTATCAAGGGGAAAGTCGTTATTGCCCTTCTTCCTACAGGATCTGGGAAAAGCTTAATATGCCGGTTAGCCCCGTTAGTGGAGCATTACATACATCATGACCAAATAGCAGCGATTGGTTAAATAAAAAAATAAAAAAAATTTTTACCCGCTTACTGTCGAGCAAACGAATTCTAGTGCTGCAAGGTCAGACAGTTTCCACAAAGTGAAACCGGCTCATGAATCCATGGAAATAGAAAAGTTTATTGCCTTACTCGAGCAGATTTCAGATAAAACAATGACATTTCCATGGAGACGAGCAGAGTGGTGGACCCTCCTCCAGAAAAGTTACACAATGCACTTTTAAAGAAGAATTTTAATTATTTTAAACACTTTGCAGTGGTCCAAAGTTATTCCTCACTTACCTTTTGCATTCAGAGCATTGTTCACTGAGATGAGTTTAAAAGCAGTTTTCACAACTCCCAAATGCCAGAGCAGAGCTTTAGTCACAGTAAAGCAACAACAACTAGCATGCTAACGACAACGCACTTCGTGGATCTTGGGCAATAAACCACTTTGTAATAGGTTGCAGACAAAGCACAGTGAACTTATTTTGAGCTCAACAGCTGCTTATACAATATATCTGTACTAAAGCAAGACATATTTTGCTCAAATACATGGAAAAAATCAGGTACAGTTAAGAAAATACGAATAAAGTGTTCGCGTAGTGTTACATTTCTATTCTCAGCCATTTTTAACAACCGTGTGTGTGTGCGTTTTTTAATATAGTATAAGTTATGACTGACCTGGTCGTCTTGCCTGGAGGTGAGGCTGTGGTCCTCAGGGGAATCCTCCGTGAATCTGCCCAGAGAAGAGAGACCGAACTCAGGCAGGAACTCAGCGGCGCCCTGGGTTTGGCCTTGTGGAGCCTGGAGGAGCAGAAGAGAGGTCATGTGAGAGAGGTCTTACACTGAGATCTGCTGATGAAAAATGTATGGTACAGTCACAGGGTGATGGTAAATCTGCTGTCTTCCAGCAAATCATTCAACGAAACAAGTGGAGCGAGGCTTCAGCCGACCACGATTAATGATGATTAATCACAAGAACTCATGCGATTAATGTAATTATTTTTTAAAATTTTTGCCCAGCCCTAGATATTAAGGATGGGCATGATTAGGTGATTAATCGACAATTGCTCATTAAGAATTTCGTCAATTACAGTCATTTTTAATCGACAAACCAAAGCGTAGGGTGACTAAACGTCCGTTTTTCCCCAGACATGTCCGTTTTCCACGTCCTGTCCTGGCCGTCCGTTTTTTGTTTTTTTTTTTTGTATAAAGTGATGCAAATGTGTGGGTTTTCATTACCTTTCATTGGGCCATTAAACTCTCGTAGCTCTCTGTGCACTGAGAAGTAGCGAGCAAACACAAACAGTTGTTCAGTCTGCAACATGCCGAAACGCAAATGCACATTTAACGATGACTTGTACAAGAATTTCCCCGCTTTCCGTCCCGGTCGAGACAAGTGTGAGGCCATGTGTACAGTGCACAAAGCAGCACATATGTTTCGGTGTCCAGTGGCGGTGTCAGGGACCTCAAAGCAACAGGACGCCGAAAAACATGAAAAAGATTTGCCAGGTGAGACTAGCTCAATGTCGATGACGAGGCCCCACCTCCCACCCCCCGTACGGTGTCCTGGTTTTGACAAACGCAAATATCATCACCCTAACCTATATTCCACTGAGTCGTGTCTTTTAGTCTGACAGAAGTTGAACCGCATCAGTGCACAAGTTTTTTTCTTCGCTTACTTTATGCAAATTAGCCATGTGGTTTTAAGTTTCGTTCCTGTGAGATTTGCGCAAAACTGCATTAAACACATTATAATGCCAAACGGATTGATGTGGCTCTAGAGTGGTTACGGTTTACATGTCGTAAAGTTGAATTTATTTATGCAGATTAGTAGTGCAGATAGTAATAATAATGATGATAATTTTAATATAAAAACGTTAATGATTAATAGATAATCGATCGTTAATTCTCCTGACAATCGATCAAGAAAATGCCCATCCCTACTAGATATTACGATATTTCAGTTATTGTTACATCCCTACTAACCTCATGTTGATCAATAACAAAAAAATTGAAGTGACAGAGAGACAAAAAAAACAAAAAAACATTCAAAATAACAGCACAAACTCACTCCAAGCCCTGATTCTGAAGTTGACCTGCTCTCACTATTCTGATTATTCAGGCTTTTTGTGTCTCATAAATTACACACAGTGAGTGGAGCGACCACAGTAAAAGATGAAACAGACATATTTATATCCTCTTTAGGTTAGCGGGATGTACTGAATGCTCCATCAGTATTTGATCAGTGTCTGAGATGTAAACGGCTCTCTGCTGTAACTCATACCCACAGCTCGTGTTGACTCATAAATTCTCTTTAGTGTTAATTTGCCTGTGATGGAGATCCAGCCCAGAGGAGGCCACGGTTTGACACATCAGCAGGATCTGAATATGAGATCTTATACTCTAATATAGGCAATTATACAGGCTGTAATACTTTAGATATGTATTTATTATTCTAGGCTTAATATTACATGTCACCATCTTTTTTTGGAAGTTTAGATCATTTTCATTGCAGCGTTTCAGGCATTATCCGTGTTGCTTCCTCATCAAGAAACATATCTGGAGTTGTGTTTTGTCTCATTCAAATCCTGCATATTTAGGTTTTCTTCTCTCAAACAGAAAACACTGTTCTACCTTGTGATGTCAGGTGGTAATAAAGTTAGCGATCCACTGTGTTTTGAAACTCCATCTTCGCTAGAATCATTATGGTGATTTCAGTCCTGGAATTGCCAATCTCTACTGAAATAAAGATAAAATGGAGCTGTTAACGTGAAAATTACCATGTCATAACAGCACAAGTTGGAACAGAGCATTTTGAGCTTTGGAGATGTTATAGACAGACTCATTACCGTATTTTTCACTCCAGAGTATAAGTCGCACCAGCCAAAAAATGCGTAACGAAGAAGAAAAAAACATATATATAAGTCACACTTTTTTGGAGAAATGCATTTTATAAAATCAGAGACCAGGAACCGAGGTTTCTTCTTGAAAGGCAAGTTAAAGTAAAAACAATAGAAAGAAAACAACAGATTGTTATCTGAAGAACTGTTCATATGTGACGTTAACTATAACATAAACAACAGAACAAGTTTACCAAACTCTCCATCTCACTCCAAATCAGTAAATCCATTGAATTCTTCATCCTTTGTGTCATTTCTGAGCAACTCGCTGACCTCTGGAGGTAAACGGAGCTCCGCTTCCTCTTCTGTGTAGCTGTCATCAGAGTCAGCATCAGTTCCAGTTAGAATTATTCCAGCCTTTCTGAATCCTGACAGGATGGTTTCAGTGTCACTGAACTCCAGGCTTTGTCCATCCATTCAGTGACTTCCAGGAAAGTTGCATGGTGCACCCTCCTGGTTCCCATGAAGCTGTGTTCTCCCATCCCTGCTTTCCACCAGTCCCTCACAAGTTTCTCGCTCACTCCAAACTTTCTTTCTGCTGCTCAATTACCATTTCGAGCTGCATATTTCACTACTTGCAGCAGAACAGCAGCTTTTTCTGCAGGAGACATGCACAGTAGGGCAAAGTGACAGTGGTACAGAAGTAGCAACAGAAGTCACACCAGAGTATAAGTTGCAGGAGACACCCAAACCATGAAAAAAAGTATGACTTATAGTCCAAAAAATGCAGTTCTCAAACGTGTGAATGAAACAAAACACAACTCCAGGTATGTTTCTGATGAGGGAACAACATTATGACATGGCTAATAGCTCACAATACAATTCTGCTTAATAAAAGACCTTTAACAAAAAAGAAAAGCATATTTTTATTGAGCAGTTAAAAGCATTCTGTGGCTTAATGTCCCACCAGAAACATTAGACCACAGAGTGCTTTTAACCAGTGCCAAGTGCTTGTCCCAGTGGACATGTTATTGCTTTGCTTTGCTTGGAAATGTTTCACTGCTAAAAATAAAATACCTTAAAGAACATACATTCTTATAGTGAAACGGCTCACCTTTTCTCAGATCTGACCTGTAACTTGGCCTGCTTGTCTCCATGGAGGGATTAATTATTTATTGGCATACTGTGGAACATTCCAGGCAAACCATCCATCTCCATGGAGACGAGCAGGTGCCGCAGCTTTTAATACACATTCTTATTTCATGTTTTTCTTTGGTACTTCATTGACGATAGTTTATGAGATAAATTTTGACAGTTTCTTTTCACTTTATGGTCTTTAGAAGTTTATAGGCTAACAGAATAAAACACATTATATTTATTATAGTATATTGTTTTTATATTTCACTAGAGCCTCGTTTCAATTTAAATATATCAACAAACCAGGGCAGCCATAAAATGAATTTCCATTTTCTGACAGTATCCTGAATCTACAGGCCACAAAAACCTATAAACTAGATTCTGATTAACTTTAAATAGCAAAGGAGAAATTCAGTTCTGTCATTGGACAAAAGGTTTTCTTTTTTTTTTTAAATCTAATACGTTTCGCAGCTCATCAAGCTGCTTCTTCATTTCTGGTCACATTGCTGGAGGACACTGCCTTATATCTGCCTGAAAGGAGATGCTCACTACACACCAGGGCTGCTCAATTATGGAAAAAATCAATACCACGATTATTTTGATATTGAAATCACAATCATTCAAACGATTATTTTTTAGTTACATGGTGCATTTATTCAGCAATTCTCTTTCTCCAAAAAAAACACTTTCAAACTTTCAAATTGAAAATAAATATATGGCTACAAATATGTACCTTAGAGCCATTTTGTGATGTATAAAACATAAAATGAATAAAATATACTTTGAACATGAAATAAGGCATAGAAAAACATAAATATATCCAAAATAAACTATATACCCAGCTGTTCTACAATCTCTATATTTAAAATTAAAATAAATATACTTTTTTAGATAAAAAATATCCCAAAACAAACTTTGTTAAGCTTTCGTTTCAACTCGATTATATGAGTTTGGAGATTGTTTGACACACAAATTGAAATCGTGATCAGAATTAAATTAATTGCACAGCCTTACTATATACATACCACTACTACCACTACTTCTACCACCTATCACTACTACCACTACTTCTACTACTTCTACCACCTATCACTACTACCACTACTTCTACCACTACTGCTACTTCTACCTCTACCACTACCACTACTTCTGCTACCACTACCACTACTTCTCCTACTTCTACCACTACTTCTACTACTTCTACCACTACTTACTACTTCTCCCACTACTTACTACTTCTCCCACAACTTCTCCTACTACTTCTACCACTAATTCTACCTCTACCACTACTTCTGCTTCTCCTACCACTACCACTACCTCTACTTCTACCACTACTTCTCCTACTTCTACCACTACTACTACCTCTACTTCTACTTCTACCACTACTACTACCACTACCTCTACTTCTACCACTACTTCTCCTACTTCTACCACTACCCCTACGTCTACCACAAATTCTACCACTACTACTACCATTACCTCCACTTCTACCTCTACCTCTACCACTACTTCTCCTACTTCTACCACTACCCCTACGTCTACCACTAATTCTACCTCTACTACTAATTCTACCTCTACTACTACTTCTCCTACCACTACCACTACTTCTACCACTACCACTACTTCTACCACTACCACTACTTCTACCACTACCACTACTTCTTCTACCACTACCACTACTTCTTCTACTACCACTACTACTACCACTACCGATACTTCTACTTCTACCACTACCTCTACTTCTACTTCTACTTCTCCCTCTACCTCTACTTCTACTTCTACTTCTACCACTACCTCTACTTCTACCACTACCTCTACTTCTAC